GCTGAGACTGCGGACACCCACACCACGAGGGCGGCGCCTTCTTGGCGAGCGTGCTGCGGTGGAAGCGGCGGAGAGAGTGCGTGAAGAGAACGGCAATCCGATATCAGAAACCCAGCATGGCGTCAGGACCCCATCAATACGTCACCCCCCCCCGCTAAGTTCGCATGGAAAGTTGGGACTCAGAGCACAAGAACTGGACCCGCGCTCGGTGTCCCCCTGTTTCCCTCCCTCCTCCTGCTCCTCCTCCTCCTCCTCCTCCTCCTCCTCCTCCTCCTTCTCCTCCTTCCTCCTCATCTTCCTCCTCCTCATCCTTTCCTCCTCCTCCTCCTCCTCCTCCTGTTCCTCTTCCTCCTCCTCCTCCTCCTCCACCTCCTCCTATTCCTATTCCTATTCCTATTCCTATTCCGATTCCTATTCATGTTCCTATTCATACTCATGTTCCTATTCCTATTCCTATTCCTATTCCTGTTCCTATTCCTATTCCTATTCCTATTCCTATTCCTATTCCTATTCCTATTCCTATTCCTATCAGTATTCCGATTCATAATACTGTTTCTATGCATAGTCATATTCCTATTACGAATCCAACTCCTATTCCTATTCCTACTCAGATTCCTATTCATATTCCTAGTCCTACACATTGTCCGTAGATTTCTCATATTCCTCATCTTCCTCCTCCTCTTCCTTCTCCGCCTCCTTCTCCTCCTCTTCCTCCTCCTCCTCGTCCTCCTCCTTTCCTCATTATTCCTTCTACATTATGAAGTAACTCCTGCCTGCCGAACTTATGAAGCAACTCCCTCTTGCCACACCCACGAGACTGGTCCGTCGTGCGGGCATCGCGTTCCGCCTGAGACAGGCGCGACAGTCACGTGGGTTCCAAGTGTTGACGTCCCAGAAAAGGTATTCTGGCACGATTGAGGATCGTCAGGTGGCAACTGTAACGTTGATTCGCGGAGTCGAAGTCCCAGGAACGGTGCTTCGGCACGGTAAGAGATTTTCGTCGTTCAACAAGGTTTTTCCCGCAGTGGAAATAAATCCACGTACGGGCCTGTGAAAAGGAAACTTGGATGAATGGCAGATTTCAGCATCGTTGATGAGTTTTGGGTTTACACTTGTCCTCCTCCTCCTTTTCCTCCTCCTCCTCCTCCTCCTCCTCCTCATCCTCATCATCATCATCATCATCATCATCATCATCATCATCATCATCATCATCATCATCATCATCATCATCCTCATCATCAGCATCAGCATCAGCATCAGCATCAGCATCATCATCAGCACCATCATCACCATCACCATCACCATCATCAGCATGCTCACAACCATCAGCATCACCATCATCACAATCGTTAAAACCATAATCAGCACCATCCTGCACCTCATGCAAATCACCCTCCTTTTACTTTTCCATGTTCTTCACCATTCTTCATCCGACTGCCCCCTGCGCCCGATCGGTGCAACCGAACAGTCGTGGTGACGGCGCAGGGGCGCAATGACATCACAAGCGGAGCGGCGCTGGTAAACCCGGCACCGCAGCACCTGCGCCCTCTGTACAAGAAGCAGGAGGAAGTAGCCTCGGAGAGGATCAGACGGGACCAGCCTGGCCGTACACGAACACGAAGGGTCAAGCCCTTGTTAGCCAGGCGAAGGCCCAGACCAGTCGGACGGAACGGTGGATCCTCGGGGAGAGCGAAGCGGAGGCAGAACGGGAAGGGGATTGGAAGCCCTCGGCGCCAGCGAGAGAGCAACTCGGGGATACCCAGGTCGCCTCACTTCGTGCACCACGCCCCGCGGTGCGCGGCGCGCGGTTGCGCTCGCGCACTCGCGCCGCCTGCTCCGAAGAAGGGCAACCCCCCGTCCACTCCGCGACCCGCGAAGCGCATTCATCTTCGCGCCGCTGTGGGCGACATGGAATACCAGCCGAATACCAGCCCGAGCCCCATCGCAAGCGCCGTGTGGCGGGGCAACCCGAGGGCGCGGATGCCGCGGAGTCAGCCGATTTTTTAATTTTTTTTGCGTTGGCGGCCAGGCAGAGGGACTACGCTGGCGACCAAGGCGAAAACGTTATGCCAATAGCGCCACCATGCAAGAGGGGCGGGAGGACGACAAGGCGACGGCCGAGGAGGGAGGGTGAGGAGAGCTGGGGCCGCTCAGACGGGCGGGGCCCCAGCGCGTGGCGGGCCGTCGCCGGCAGCAAAGGGGGCGCCAGCGGCGGCAGCGGGGCTGCGGGGCCAGCGGCGGCGGGGGGGCTCTGAGCAGGTCAGCAGGAGGAAGGGTGCACGCGTACAGTTAGGTCGGGCATGTCCCCCTACAACGGGGCTTTCGGGCGAAAAATGATAATTTGCGTAATACTAATTTTATACTATATATATATACAAGAACAAACAATTCATCAAACATCAGCCAGCGTTGACTCCAAATCCGCCGCTCCGACGTGTGAGTTTGGAAAACCCTGAGAACAGCCTGAGCTGGAAATTCCTGAGTTTCAGCTCTACGGGGGGGGGGGGCCGAGGTGGCTCTGCCAGTTTGAAAGGGGTTGGGGTTGGGAGACCCAACCAACAGCTTCGCCTGAGGCGAAGCCCAGCTCCCGCTCTGTTGTACCGTAGCAGCGATAGTCCCAATAGTAGGGGGCGAGCCATCTCAAGCAGCATTTTGGATCAATGGCAATTAGTACACCTTGCGCTGAGGTGTAGTCAGATCTGGGCGGCCGGCTGCTTTGAGCCAAGCAGCCGCGGATGCACGCTCGTTCCCACTCACATGCAACGCCCAGCTCACCTTAGAGTCGGGGGGGAGGGAGACGAAGCGTGGATCCGCCACCTCTATACAGCAGATACAGCAGCGACTATATACAACAGGGCAGCAAAAGGGTGGGGCCGCAAGGAAGGTGGACCCGCACGCAAGTTGCCTCGCCTGTACTATCTTGTACATAAAGCTACCCCTCAGGCGGCCACAGAACAGGATGTCTGACCAGCCCGATAGGGAGTATGACTCTGTAGGTCACGTTTGAAAGGTTGTGTACCTCCCATGACCTGTAGGAGCATCTCTCTGTCGATGCTCCCCTTGGTGTGACCGTCCGCAGTCATATCGCGGGTGTCGCACCACTTAATACTGTGCACGACTCCACGCTCCATCATCTGTCGTATCCAACTGATGTGTCCTAACAGGGTACACTCAGCCGGCTTCTTCAAGTCTTTGCTTGACAAGGATTTAAAAGCGGACTCAGCATCGATGGTAAAAGTGACTTTGATGCTCAGGCCAGCCAACTCAAGTATGTCTTTCAACTGAGTGGGAGTGAGCGGCCATGCGTGGAGCTCGTGCAGAGTCACGATCGCGGGGTAACAGTCCTCCAAATTATGGGCAGCTGCTAGTGCGTCTGCTGAAAAGCTCGGGCGGACCTGCAAGCGGGGAGACTTGCAGTACGCGTCGATCAAGTGGACGACGGGCTTACCAGATGGAGTGTTTCCACGCCGTAGCAGGTTTGCCCCGCGAATACCATAGCCTCTGACGTCGTCATGGGCGTCTCCACTCAGGCGTCGGTAACTTGAGTCGCTGTGCAGGTCGACCTCGCCCGTAGGGGTCATCGCCTGATAGACGATCTTCTTGGGACAGGCCAACAATTACCTGGCGATCGCGTTCAGTGATCGTACTTGTATATTGGTTGGTTCTTGGAAACGCTTGAAAGATACACCATACACCATCAACCACACTTGGGTGATTCATGCATACGCCAGCGCGCCTCTGAGACTGACGAACATGTCTGCAACCATCTTGGATGCGTGAGCGTCAGCGTCGGCACCGGTACGTTCAGGATGCTGTATAGGACGGAGCTGCTTGATGCATTCGTCGTGGTCCAAAGTAACGTTACCGTCCTCATCCCTGGTATATATATCGGCACATTTGGTGCATGTGTGCTTGTTGAGTTTACACTTACCAAAAGTGTCCTCCACGCACTTGACACACTTGTCAATGGTGTCCTCAGTTCCGGCCATATTGATGTCATCAACATGTTTGGCCGTAAGCAGGTTGCTGCTCGTCTCGAACTCCTCGTCGTAGGACGTGGGTCGGAGACCAAACCCTCTTGCGGCCCCTCTGAGCTTGAGTGGGAAAGCTCGGGGTGCGTCTTTAGCGCCAGTGCCTGGCTTAAGGCACTGCAAGCAGTGCTTTGACTCGTCGTAGTGTTCGAATCCTGGGAGAGTCCGAAGCACCGCGGCCGATCCAGGCGGCGGCGAAATAAAGCACACCACACGTCCCTTTTTCACCAGTTGCCTCAGCAAGTTCCTGGTAGGTCAACCCTTGCAGGAAGGCCATGTTGATGTCGAGGGAAGCAATGTCCCATTGCTTCCTGCACGCTGCCGTGCTCGCGAGTAGTCTCTAGCTGGCCCGCCGCGCTGTTCCCGAAAAGGCTTCCACGTCGAAGGCTTCAAGGTCCATGAAGCCTCGCAACACCAGGCGTAATCTGATGGTACGTTCCATCTCGCCCCTCGTTCTTCACAAAGATCAATTCGAACACATACCTGGAAGTCAAGATGTTTGACGCATTAGTAATGTCTTGCGGTTTGAAGCACGTGTTGTCACACCATGTCGTGAGTTCGGTGTAGAGGGCCTTCGACGCTTTCTCGGGATTCGCCTGGACGTCAACCTTCGCGAGGAGGTCGTCTTCCTTGACGACCACAGCTCGCTCTGCAGCGGCGGTAACATATACTCGCATAATGGTCACACGGTCGGCATCAAATATCACGTGTTATTGTTCGGACAGGACTACCTTTGATATTTCTGTCGTGAAGCAGAGTTCTACAGATTGTCCATGTCCGTCTGAGTCCAGTCCGTAACTGCAGTATTCGGCCATGGAGCACAATTGGACGTAATACGTCTCCTCGGTGGCGGAGTCGGGTGGGTGTCCCCACTTAGGCAGGTGCCCCCGCTGTTCTTCAGCTACAGCGATCAGCGCACCATGGTCTGGAACCATCTGTGTGGGCATCGTGGAAAGATCCTCTAGTGGA